ATACCCGTACCCGCCCCGTACCCGTACCCGTACCCGTCCCCGTTCTCATTTTTAATTTAATATTCACTTTTAATTTAATTATATTAAAAAAATTTAATATTTTTTTATGTATGATTATTTATTATAATGTGAGATAAAAAAATAACCTAATTATAATTATAATATAATAAAAAAATAATTTAAAAATATTATTTTTTAAAAAAAAAAATAAAAAATAAAAAAATTGACGTGTACGGGTACGGGTACGGGTATACCCGATACCCGACGGGGATAGGGATGGGGATGAAAATCCATACCCGACGGGTATGGGGACGGGGATGGGGATGAGTTTTACTTGCGGGGACGGGGACGGGTATCATGAAACCCGTACCCGCCCCGCCCCGTTGCCATCCCTAATGTCAATGCATTTCTATATGCTTTATCCCTTCATAATAAATTGGGTTGTGTGCAGTGATGATGAAAAACTTACAAAATAATTACATAAGAGCTTTTATTCTGAGGTTATTGAGAGTCTCATTTATAACAACTCATTCACCCCTTGAGCTGTGACTCTAAATTTTGCCTCTACACTTGATCTTGTGGTGGAACTCTTGTCACCTAAATATCCTGTGGTGGAACTCTTGTCACAATCAGCCTTGCATAGTCAATGTAGATAGTCTCCCCTCTTTTTTTTAGTAGAAATCCTCTTCCGAGAGAGACCTTTAAATATTGAATAATTCTATTTACAACTTGAAAGTGCTTATTTGTTGGATTATGCATGAATTGACTAACCATACTATCTAAATAAGCTATATCAGGCCTGGTGTGCGATGGATAGATGAGCTTTCTCACAAGTTTTTGATACTTGGTTTCTCCACCCTTGTTTTCTTCCAACATTCCCAATCCTGTGATTTTTGTCTATGGGTACTCATAGTCTTACAACCCAACTTAGCAGTCTCTTTAAGAAGATCCAACACAGTTTCTTTGAAGAATAAAAATGCCCTGCATAGAGTAGACAACATGTATTTCAAGAAATTGAGGAAGTGCTTCAGTTCTTGATGTCCTTAATCTAAAACAGAGTAGCTAACTTCTCCCTTAAAATTTTTGAGTTCATCATCACTTGCAATAATCATATCATCTTCATAGGCCAAAGCACTGTAAGTTTGCCTTCCTCAAAAGATGAAATGTTATTTAAGAAGGGTATGATCACCTTGACTTTGCTTGTACTAAGGATACCATAACCTGAGTGAACCTTGAGGCCATAAAATACTTTTTTAATCTGCAAACCTTATTTCCTTTATTAGTTGTATCATATCCAGGTGGATCTTCATATAGATTTCCTCTTCCAAATTTCCATGCAAGAAAACATTTTTAACATCAAATTGATGCATTTTCCAATCAAAATGCGCTGTCAAGGCCATATTGTATTCACTTTTGCTATGGGATCAAATGTCTCTTCATAATCAATTCCAAGTCTCATTCTTTTTCAATGCACTTATCTCTTCATTTATGACTTCAACACAATTCTCATCCTCTAAGGCTTCCTGTACTGATGTAATTGTAGGAATTCTAATAGAATCAATAGCTGAAATGAAACTTTGTTATTGCGCAAAAAGTTGCGTAGTAGATACATATTGAGATATAGGATACATGTTGCAAAATCTTTTTCCTTTTATGAAGCCCAAATACTTAAAAAATGGAAAAGTATCAATATTGTACCCGTGTCAGATACTAATACTCCTCATATACTTCTGCATATGTATCCAAAAGTATCCAATCTTTTTTCATCAATTTTTTAAAACTTTTTTTCTAGTATACGTCTTGGATACGTATCCAAGAAGTATCCAACAAGCTTGCCTTAAGCTTCTTGTGCAACCATATTCTTTCTCATGCTTGAGAGGAATTAGAGTACGCACTCCTCTATTCATTCTTTGAAGAAAAACTAAATAGATCCAAAATGGGTAGAATATTTGATCTCTGTGTGTTTGAACCTTTGACTTTTGTCTATGATGAAGGGTATAAAAAGGAGAGGCTAGGTTGTAGCACATTAGTAGAAATATACATCATCCACTTGCTAATGGTGCTAGACTTCTTGAATTGACATAATTGTCCCTGGAAAAACCAGACTTAGAAGAAATGGTTCTAATTTATGGTAAGGGGGAGAGGAGATTGATACAAATAGCATTAGACAATAATTTAGTAATGATGCTTTTGAGTCCTAGGCTATTGTATAGAGCTCATTTGTTTTAAGTTCTACCAAAGATTCTTTTATTGATATAATGAACTAAAATTGGTTATGGTATGAGCAGAAACTATATTCTGCACGTTTTTTTGTTATGATCACAAATAATTTTTTTGTGAATTGTGATCATAATTATGAATTAACGAGAAATGATAAATGTGCATTTCTTTACCAGTATTCTACATCTAAATAAATTGTCCTATAATTTTTTAGTAACGTATCTAAAGTTGTATTGTATCTTAAATTTCAAAAAATTGTCATATCTCAGTACTTGTACCATGTTGTGCCCGTGTTGTTCTAAGTATCTGGACTCCATAGCTCAAGTTAATGAGTAAATGATCAAGGTTAGGATCTCATGGAGTATTTATAGATTCTTCATGAGTATTAAATAGTGCCACCATGGTGGAATGGCATGGCAGATTTTTTTCCATTCGCCATAGGCAATTTGTGAAGGGATGCCTTCTATGGTGGCTCCATAGGCTGCAATGGTGTGTTTATATGGCGGAAGTTTGGTGTTCTGCCATGTTTCACAATCTGCCATTTCTAACATTGGTTACCTCTGGTTTGGGTGATTGAAGTGGTCGATGCAACAGGTTGGATATTTGGAAGTATTAGGAATATGAAGCACATTTTAAAAATTAGGGGGCAACTGAGGTTGAATGTTATTAGTTATCACAATCAATAACAGAGGTTTGTGACCCATTGCTGGAGATAGTTCCTCTCATCAAGGTGATAATTGCCTTGCAAAATGAGCAGTTCAATCATCAATGTGGGTCAAAGGTTGAACTGCAACTTATTTGTCTTCAGCTATGGAGAAATTGCTTTTCGCAGCAAGTAAGGACAAGCGATGAAGTGATGATGAATAGTGACGATTAACAGTGAATGTTGAGAGAAATGATTCTTGCAATAGGTATGAATGGGTCAATAAATTAGCTGGTGTAGTGAAGGTGATGCTAACTTCTCAACAGTGAGGTGGGAGGACTTCAGATACAAAACTCTCCCAATGACTGGGTGCTTTGATACTGACTTGAAAGATTTCTAATGGAATGATTACAAAATGAAGGAAATCACTCCTATTAATAGGCTTTATTACATTTATTTCAGGATCCTCAAGAGGCTAAAAAGCTTCACACAATTCTCAAGAGCCTAATACTTTTGTTCTTGCGGTGGATTGGATCTGACCTAGATTGGTGTTACCTTTCCAATAAAATCCCTTGGATTTTGGATTTTTGTTTTTCTTTTTCAAAAGACTACCCGAATTTGTATTTAAGTTTATTGAAGGAAGATAACAATTTGTTGTGCACTATCATCGGGATGTTTCTTTTATAGAATGTACAGGCCCTTCTCTTTTACTTAGTTTGAACATTTTCGAGTTTTGCTTCATTATTATATTTTATGCATTACATAAAGACTTGAGTACTTGTGAATCATGATTTTTTATTTATTTAATTATTAATGGGGTTTCTCTTAACTTCTGGTGGTCACCTTGGGCATTTTCTTCAATTATATGCACATATAACTTTCTATATATATTTTTTTCTTCAAGTTATTTATCTATTTGATACTGTCTTACGGTATTGAACTGATTGTCACAGTTCATGATTCCCAGTTTGGAAAAAGGTCTCGTTGAATCCTGATACATACCCTATTTGGCAATTATAAATAAGAGTATTGTTAATTCTCACTGACCTTTACACCCCTCACTCCTTTTAAGAATAGAGACAAAGATATTGATAAAAATAAATGCAGGGAACTTGTCATTAACTATACATACCATGTCTCCTGTTGTATGATATTCTCTTATGTCAATCTCACTAACTGAAAAGGTTTCCTTTGATGCCTTTTACTTTGACCAACATTTGGATTATTTAATGAAATTGTTGAAAATGTTTCAGCTTCAAGATACTGAGACAACCTCTGGTGAGTCAGAAGTAAAGTTTCAGGTGTCCAGGGATACATTGGGTGCTATGCTAAGATCAATGGCTTATATCCGTGAGCAGCTTTCTCATGCTGTAAGTTTTCCATTCCTGTTATTTCTATATACAAGATACTTGTTATAAAAATATTATAATTTATCCGAGTTTTTTTTTTTTATTATTTATTTCTTTTTTCTTATATGTTGTGCCATGCTAATAATTTGTTGTCAATTACCTCATCCAATGCTAGTGTTTACTTCTATTTTCATTTCCTATTTTCCTTCTGTTCAGAAAATTGTCATCTTGTTTTTGATCTGTTTTCACTTTTTTTTTTACATATCTGTCACCTTGTTCTCAATTTGCTTTCTAAGATTTGTGCATAAAACCAGAGAAATATAAAACTCTTTTTATTGTTTCATCTACAAACCTTTGAAACATGAGAAAAATAACATAAGGTGACAAGTGGAAACAAAAAATGAAAACAGAAATTAACTGGCCCAAATTTACACAATCCATTAACCTTGTGTTTAGATGGAGAATTTTAAGAGTTATTCTTTTTTTTTTTTGTGAAATAAAAATGTTTCGGGATGAAATATTTTGTTCGGATAGAGAATATTTAAAGAAATAGAGAATATTTTGTTATTTTCCGTGCATATTCCCTTCGATCTCATCTTTCTTGTGTGACTCACAACTAACTGCCTTTCCCTTTATTTTTCCTATCATAGACTACAAGAATGAGAGTATCTATCATTAAAGAAACATGGCACGATGGCTAATATCACAGAAATATGTATCACAAATCTCATATTGATAATTTGATATCATGACCCTTTGGTTCAACGATATTACATAACAAAATACTATTTTTATGTTTAATCCTACTATTGATCCTTAGAACCATGTTTTACATTGCAGCATTTAGCTTGTAACGTGACTTTCTAAGTAACCTAAATGAGTATGTGATTACTTGAACTTCTTCTCTTTTTCTAACCCAGTAATTAGGGCTTTGGGCTCCTTGGTGGGACTCTTAGGTATCTTCATAATTTTTTATCCTTTGGACTGATTACGAGATTAATTCTAGGTCCACAGCTGAGTCACACTCACGCTAAAACCTCCTTGCCCCTTCCCAAGGATACGTTTTGCGCGAATCAAACAGAAGTCCTTCCTCCCAAACTTAGTCTTTTGCTAACTAAGCTACACCCATTGGGTACTTGAATCTCTACAAATCCATAAGCATTGCACTTTTTACCCTGAACTTAAGTTTGTTGAGGTTGTTTGGGCTCCCAAATGAAATCATAGATGGTCATATTATCTTTAGAAATATAAAGTGTCCAGAGAAGAATTTTGTTAACAGCGACAAAGCAATAAAGTTATTAACATAATTAACCATCATCCACCTATATGATTATATCAAAAGAGGGCTAAAAGTGTTCAGTATGTTACGAATATGCGCTGTAATTTATTATCAAAATTATTAGTATGTATTCTATTCATTTTTGTGGTACAATTTTGCATTGGTTTATCCGAAAATCTGTGTCATTACTAGGTAATTTTGCATTGGTTTAATATTAATGTTCGTTTAAACGTTAAAATTTTGGCAGGACGATGCACAGGTAGAACCTGTATCGAAAAAGCATAGGAAGTAAAGCATCAAATTTTCATTTCATATCTTGATGGAAGCGTGATGACTGCTCAACAAATGAAAAGGCTTAGAAATTATAGTGTATCTGATGTATCTTTTAGTGTGTAGCTTTTTCCAAATTTGTTTTAACTTGGTTTTTTCCAAGTCTGTATTAACTTATTGATGTACATGTATCATATCGTAGGTAGCAGCTTTTTTTCGTGCAAAGCAGTTAAAGTATTATCTACCCTCCATCAAACAACCACAAATAACAAATAATAATGGCTTTAACAAAATTTGATCTAAGAAAGAAAAACAGTGTCAAATGTTGGGTAAAATGAGCAAGGGGCATTTGGAAGAATTCTAACGGGATTTAAATTTGTCTTATAAATACTTAAACAAGTGATGTTTATGGAAGGGCTTTGTCATTTTAAAAAATACAATAATATTAACAATATTTTTTAAAAATATTTAATCATGAAACATTTTTAATAATAAAATAGGATTTAATTATGTTTTTAGTCCTTATAAAATGAAATAATTTTGATTTGTCCCTGTAAAATTTTTCTTTATCTTTCATTCTTCCACAATTGTTGCTTTTATTCCATGTAAAATAATGAAATTTTGGTTTCGATGCTCATAATTTTCTTTTTATCCTTTCAAAATTTAAAATAATTAATTTTAGTCATTTAATGATTATTTTAAGATAAATAAATAACATTTAATTTAAATATATTGAAAGTTTTCTAGAGGTGGTACATACCAATATAAATTTAAAGACACTAATAAGTGTTACCTAAGATGGTCATTTTGATATTTTGTCAATATATAAGTAGTTAACAAATGTCACATGATGGCAAGACCAAAAAAAATAATTTTAATATTAAAGTGATAAAAAAAAATAAAATTTAAAGACCAATATGCATCATTTTATATAGATTAAAAATATATTTAAGTTAATTATTAATCTTTTATGACTTAAAGTTAGATCGGGAGAATTTTTTCCTTGGCTAAAATAGGGAATATTTATAATTTTAGTTGCATTAAATTTACATGCAGATTATGAAATTGAAACGTCCATAGACATTTCCACAAATCCAACCACAACCGTCTTTGGAAACAACACCCCCCTTGGGAACTTAAATTACCATAATTGTACCATTCTCTCCCACGTTCTGTTGACTTTCATTTTTCTTTTGCTGTGACCTATTGGGTTTCTTATATATATATATATATATATATATAGAGGAAGAATCCTTTTATTCCAGGAGTAAGTTTAGCTAAACTTACTCCGTTTAATTTAAAGTTCTTAATGCATAGATCAAATATGCAAATTTTTAGAAAATTTGAAAATCATTTTATACTTCATTTTATTAATTCAAATTGACAGATAATTAAAAAATCATTTTATACATTGATTCGAATTAATGAAACGAAGTATCAAATAATTTTTAAATTTTCTAAAAATTTGCAGATTTGATCTATGCATTAAGAACTTTAAATTAAACGGTAGGATTGTTAAAATTTGATATAGAACATGAGTTATTGAACGGAGTAAGTCTAGGTAGACTTATTCCTGGAGTAAAATGATACGTTCTTATATATATATATATATAACTCCTCGATCTGAAGTAAAACAAGCCAGCAGCAGAAGGAATTTTAAGATCGTAGCGTATAAAATAGAACATAGTGCGATACAGTAACCCGTCGGATATGATGACACGGTAGGCAAGAACGGATGCCACGTAAGATGAGGAATCATCACAAGCTTGGAATGCGTCGGCTCCCTTATTACTGATAATGCCCTTCTTTTGGTAGCTACTGATTACTTCAAAACACTTCATAACTAAAGGAACCTACTGCGTTCTGGGCGGCTGAAGAACTGATCCAACGGATGCTGCGATGACTTGTTAGTCAGTCCTATCCTATAGGGCTAGATCAGTTGTTCTAGAGATGACTTTGGCTTGTATACTGTGCGGGGGCAGGACGAAACAAGAAGTGTGTGCCGAACTCACGAGGGACTGCCAAATACTTTGACTTATCCTCCCTTACTGAAGGAAGGCTAGTTTTCCTTGCTCTTGAGCCTGCTTCTAAGGTTGGTACTACAGGCAATCCCACTATCGCTATACGGAATACGACTAGGAACTACTCCTCCCCTTTAATTAAATAGGGGGAATACAACAACCCTTGATTTTTTGTTAAGGCTTTCGAATTTCTTAGCTTTTGCCCTATAATTAGACCCAACAAGCAATCCATGTAACTATCCACTACTGTTACAATGCCTATAGCCGGAATGGACCTATAACCTCCCCTTCCTTCTCTTCTATCACCATCACCCTTTGAAAGTGAAAGTAGCCTTTCCATCCTTTATAGACATCATTTTGAGGGAAATTAACACTAAGATGATGAAAAATATAGATCGACGTGTCATTGGTCTTTCGTTCGTAGTGGGATAAACTAACCTAAATAGTCAAGTGAAGGAGACCCACATGCCCACTTCTCCTTCCCCACCCCATTTCTGGGACGGGCCTCGCTGTCGCCTTTGACTCGAGCTATTTTTTCTCCCGAGAACAGATAGCTTGCTGCCCAAGTCTACCTACCAAAAGAAAGCCATATCGTCATTCAACCTACCTAGTCTCTCTACCTGAGGGATCCCTTATCCCCGTTGAGTACTCTTTTCTTATCTTTCTTTCTATTCACGGGTCTTCCCCGCTTCTTGATTTGAAGGTTTTCCTTCTCCTTTTTTAGTAACAAAATAAACCAGTAGTAAGACCAAGCTGAGAGTTAGCAGCATAAATAATGAGGGATTTTTGAATGAGAAATACAAGTCACCTATCTGCATATCAATCAATGGGATTATCTCAAATTGATCAAGAGGGCTTGATAAGGAGTCCCTAGGTGCGGTACTTTTAAGACCATCCGGGTGCTGACCCTGGTGATCTTCGATCTCACCATCCAGGTGCTTACCCTTTCCCTATCTGTCGAGGTCAGGGGTGTCTTCCCTTTGCTAGCCTTTATCCGGCTTTGATCTCGTATTCTTACCTCCTTCACCTCCATCATCATCTTTGTCTTTTTGCGGGGTTTTACAAATTTCAACCCCCTGCATCCCGATCGAGAGTTTTTGTACTTTTGCGTTACATGTTAAGAAGTATATCAGCAAGTCATTTTTTAGTAAATAAAATACAATGAATCCAAGAAAGTATAGGAAAAGGCATCCAATTTTGTCAATTTGTTTATCAGTGAAGTTGAAGTTCATCATGGAAGGTTTTCGAATGAATGACTCCCTTCAGACAGACTGAATTCAATCAAGCCAATAGGACTAGTGTTTTGACTATATAGAGATGTGGTTGGTTGTTGACCAAAAAAGACATGGGAAAAGGAAAGCACTCACTAAGTTACTTACGAATCAAAAAAATTGAGGCTGACTATGGCCTCAGATGATTAGGCGTGGACAGGATTCGAACCTACAATCTTCAGGTCATGAGCCTGATGAGTTGACCAATTCCTCTACACCGCTTCGTCCCCTTCTCTTTCTTTTCTTTCACGATTCCGCCGGGATAGAACCAAAGCTTAGTAAGTAAGCGGTGGTCTAACGACCCCCTAGGTTGGAGCTATGAAGCTTACCTTATTTATTAGAAAAGACTTTTTCATTTCAGCTTGCTGACTGGGGTTGGCAGCGAAATTCTTCGCGACCCCATAACATAGGAAAAGTTTATGAGTTCATAAGACCCCTTAGAGAGAGGGGTGACTTTGTAGTAATTGCGACAAGTAGGGGGTGGCAAACAAAGAGGTAGCGAGATTGACCGCAATTGAAGGTAGTTGACTTACTTACTTGTTAAAGTAAGGGTTGACTTTCTTTCATTTTTATTTATTATGGAAAGTGAAAGTTGTCTCATTTAGTACGAGATTGCTTCACACCTCTCGGTGCTTACACCTCTCGCCTATTGAAGTTATGTTCAAAAACCTCGTCCGAGAACTTGTAAGGATTTCCCGCGGTGCAATAGTTCTTCCATACCAACTTAACAGCCCGGCAAAACAACCAGTACACCATAGGTTGGCCCAACCTAGTCCTCTCGTACTAGGGTTGGCTCCTCGCAGTTCTCCCTTTAACACCAACAGTAGATAGGAACCGAACTGTCTCACGATGTTCTAAACCCAACTCACATACCACTTGAATCGACGAACAACCGAACCCTTGGGACCTTCTTCAACTCCAGGATGTGATGAGTTGACATCGAGGTGCCAAATGACTCCGTCGATAAGAGCTCTTGCGAGTCATCAGCTTGTTATCCCTGGCGTACCTTTGATCCATTGAGCAAGAGCCCTTCTACACGGGACTCCCAGATCACTATGGCTGACTTTCATCTCTGTTCAACTAGTCGGTCTCACAGTCAGGCAGGCTTATACCATTACGCTCACGAGTAGAATCTTAGCTTGAGCCTACCTTCGCACACCTCTGTTACTCTTTAGGAGGCATCCGCCCCAAATAAACTACCCACCTCGCAGTGTCCCCCCCCCCAAATTTTGGGTGCAGCGGTTAGGCATCCTTAGACGAAAGATTGGTCTTTCAGGATTGGTTGTTCTGTGTCATCACCTCCCACCTATCCTACACATTCGATCAAGGTTGTCACTGCGAAGCTATAGTTAAGGTGCACGGGGTATTACCGTCTAGCCGTTGGTACTCTTCATCTTCACGGAGAATTCAATTTCACCGGGTCCATGTCAGAGACAGGGGGACAGTTGTTACACCATCCGTGCAGGTCGCTACTTATGCAACAAGGAACTTCGCTACCTTAGGATAGTTAGAGTTACTGTCACTGTTTATCAGGGCTTCCACTCAAAGCTTATAACACTTCTCCTTTCGACCTTCCAGCATCGGGCAGGTGTCAGACTCTATACATCGTGTTACCACTTAGTAGAGTCTTGTGTTTTTAATAAACAGTCGCTAACCCCTAGTATGTGCCGCTTTCCTAATCAAAAGATAGGAGAGCACCCCTTCTCCCGAAGTTACGGGGTCATTTTGTCGAGTTCCTTCGACATGGTTCTCTCAAGCGCCCTAGTATACTCTACTTGTTCATCTGTGTCGGTTTGGGGTACGGTCAGTTCACCGGGAGGATGGATTGGGGTACGGTCAGTTCACCGGGAGGATTGCCCTCCCAATTCAAAGTTTTTTCCTGGAAGTTTCAACCTGGTTGACTATGACAACAGTCGCGACTATAAACAGACTCGCTACTATGGCAGGGCGGTACGCTCTGCTCTCTCGCGACCCCTACTTTAACGAGTAAGCAAGTCAACTACCTTTTGAAGTGCTAGTCGCGTAGGACGATCGAGCCAAGCCGAGTCAGAAAGGCTTTGATGACTCAAGCAAGGTTCATATTAGGGAAAGGAGAGTGAGGGGAAAGGGGGCAGCCCTCGGCCTAATCATCCAATTCACTCCAACAGACAGGCATGGTTCTATAGTCAAAGAAACTTCGTCACTTTCGTGTACCCATCGGACGACATCCCTTTTGAGGTTGGGGCTTCCTTAGGGACCGATTCACTCTACATAGATTGACTGAGCATAGAAAGCCTTCCACTGGAAGGTGATCATGTTTTTCACAGGATTTCTCATTACTCATGTCAGCATTCTCACTTCTAATATCTCCAAGTTTTGTCACCAAAAACCTTCCCCGATTGGTAGAACGTCTCGCTACTGACACTTGAAAAAGCAACTTTCAAGGTGTCGTAGCTTCGGTGAATCACTTGAGCCCTGATACATTTTCGGTGCCATGGAGCTAGACTAGTGAGCTATTACGCTTTCTTCAAAGGATGGCTGCTTCAAAGCCCACCTCCTGGTTGTCATCGCTCGATCACTTCCTTTTCCACTAAGGGATTGCTTTGGGACCTTAGCATACGATCTGGGCTGTTTTCCTCTCGACTTTGGATCTTAGCACCCTAAAGTTTGTCTGTACAAATGATCTAGGCTTGTATTCAAAGTTTCCCTGGGGTTGGTAAGGCGAAATGGGGCCACCCTAGCCCATTGAGTGCTCTACCTTGGGCCATCGACATCATACGCTCTACTGAAATAGATTTCACGAAAAACTAGCTATATTCGATCTTGGTTGGCCTTTCACCCCTAGCCACAAGTCATCCCCGTATTTTGCCACATATGTGGGTTCGGTCCTCCAAGGCCTGTTAGAGCTCTCTTCAACCTGTTCTGTATGATTCTGCTTTCCTTCAACTCCATTTTCTTAGGTGGCTAAAGGATCGGGATCTGGTGCATTGACTTCTCTGCTCATTTCCCTTCGCTGACTAGCTTTTTCTTTCTTATCTTAAGCTAAAGCTAACTACCTTCCTTCTCCTTCTTCGCCTATAAATCAGTACCCTTGAGTCGGCTAAGCTACTTCATAAGCATTTTATTGAAAGGGTGAAGGGGAATGCTTTAAGTCAGTCCTTTCTTTTCTTTTTGTATTTCTATGAGAAGCTCTATGGAACCCACTGTCATTCCTTTCTTTGACAAGGAGTCCCCTCTTGAATTCGTGGTAGGCAATGAGTTCGGGCTTTTATAAGAGTGAGGGCTTATAAAAGATTAATCGTTGCCTTCTTTCCACTCACGGTAGACCTACTATAGGAATGGCTGGTGAAAAGCCTAGTTCAACTATACCATTCCATCAAAGGCTTCCAAGCCCTTACCACTGGAGTGAATGAGTGCAGGAAGGAAAGAAGCCTATAAGCTATTTAAGCTAAGAAGCAAATGCGAAGGAGAAGGCTTCAATCTCACATTTTGATGTCACGACGCTTTATTGAATGATGGCTTAATATACGGGGGAAGATTCTTTCCTATCTTTCTTTCTTTTTCTATCCCTCCCATGACGTTTTTACTTTAAGCTAGGTCAAAAGGCGAAGAAAATTCCTTCTTATTTCACCTAGGGAGAGTAAAGTGAAACAAGCAAGGTACGAAGTCGCTCAAATGATATTGATAAGGAGAGGAAGTGGTTACTCGACAGAACAGATAGTCCAAGGTAGGAAGCTTGCTCGTTAGCTATTGAGTTTGATTGCTTCGTAAACCTTCATATTAAGCTATGGGGATTGATTCTTTCTTTTATTTTTTCAACTGACATGTTATAGACTATCGGGCTTTGACTGACGACTGGAAGATCCTTTTAGGTTGTTGGGCCTTATCCACCTCATTGAGGCAATTACCAGTCTTAATTACAACGAATGCTTGATTATCCAGATCTATATAGATTGTCTCAACTCGTGCAAAGTGGTAACTATTTGAAGGAAGGGTACGGAGTTGATACTCGCACCGAACTCTAAGCGCTAGTTGAACTTTCTTCCCTCTCTATCGGCGGGAAGGAACTTACTGATGAAACTATTTCTGAGTTTTGGATGGTAGTGAAAAAATTGAGAAGGATCTTAGCTCCCGGTGACCGGCTTTGCGGGACCTCCATATGGCCTGGTCCACTCTTGGCTAAGCTCTTTGGGCGAGACTTTATCAATCACAGCTTCTCTCATTGACAGACTAGCAATCCAATCAATCACTCATCATATAGAATAACGATCGACAAGTCTAGAGTGTGCACCAATGATACGCTGGAAAGATTCCCCGAATTTCTTTATATATGATAATAGTTAGAAGGTTTCCAATGGCTATCAGATAAAAATGAGTGGACTGTCAAGCAAGCTTGTACTTCTTTCTTTGACAGGCATTGCAGGTCCTAGGTCTGGTTGGGTAAACAAGCTTAGGCATAGCGTTTTGACTATATCATTCCTTACTTATCGGCGTAACGACAGCTAATGATTGAATACCTAGCTTGTTGATGAAGATTGGCATAGGCGAGCCAAATACCAAATGTGCTGGACTCACTAAAAGATTACGCATTACCTGCTATGCCAAAAAATTGAGTAAGTTTGCATGCTTGCAGATGCTGACTGAGATTGCTCACAAGCCTCTAAAATGAACTGATTATATTGATGATACGAAACTCATAACAGTAGGGCTGTAGCTGGATAGATTGGATTTTTAGAGTTTTGTAGGCATAAGGGACTATCGCTAGCGGCAACTACTGTTAAGGAGAGTAGGTCGCCTAGGATGAAATGAATCTACTAGCACGGATCAGGCCTCTTAGTTAAGCTGACGCAATGGCTTCCGCTAAGATACTCCTCATTTGTGGATAAAAAAGATAAGTGAAAGATAAAAGTAGCTGGAGTATCTCCAATAGCTTGCCCCGAATGCCTTATCCGACCCTCGATATGGCGAGCGTGGTGAATACAGTATCGCAACTTACCCATCAACCTTGCCAATAGGTTCTTCGTAGAAGGGGTCAATGAACTGCCCTTCAAAAGCATGATAATAAGCTAAGGGGATCACGAGTTTGAGGTCATTTTGGTAAATAGAAAGAAGAAAATGACACTAGCTAAGCGGGAAGAGCTAGCCTTAAGCCTTAGTGATGGAGGACCATCCAAGGAAGAGGAATACATGAAGGCCATTGGACCTTTGACAAGGTCCATGGTAAGGAAGCTAGAAGAGACATCTAAGGAGGAGGTGCTTCTTAGACCCTTGCTCACCATGAGCATTGTGTACTTTTCTCCTTAGTAGTATCTTGAGTAGTCCCATTGTATATATTGTATATAGTAGACTTTGTATAGGATTGTTTTGCCTTTGTATTTTGGAGGCACCTTTTTCTTTTTAGAAGTAGGCATAGGAGTGGCATTAGTAGACTAAAGTGTGCTCCTAGCATTTTAGCCAAATGTGGTCTTAGGATAAAGGTTTTACATATTGGACTCATTTAACTCCTAATTTTTCATAGATTTGATTTAGCTAGGTTCCATTCACATTGAATGAACCTAACTAAACCAAATGAACCATTTTCAAACCGGGTGGAGTTAAATGAAACCAATCAAAACCGTCCACACCTTTGTGTTCACACCTTGTGTTCACATTGGTGCACACTTGGCCAAATGCTTGGACCTCTTTTCTCTCCTACACAAGGGCGGTTTAGGAAGGCTCAACCATGGTTCTTAGTGAACCATGGTCTAGCCTTTTCTTGCTCCCTAAGTTGGACGGACCCAACCATGGTTCCTAGTGAACCATGATCTAGTCTAGCTTAACCCCTAGGTGGCCACGCCTATATAGCCTCAAATTTTCACTTGTATGACACTTTTGGCATTAATGAGAATTGAGTATTCAGATTAGAGATCAGATTTCTCTCCTCCCAAAGGTCCTAAACCTCTTTGTGCAAAACCAATCTCTTATCACTTTTCCAAAGACAAGTGTGGCGGGTTGAAGAATGCTTATCCCTTCACCAAGAGTGGCGCATTCTTGAGAGGTTTCCCCACCATCTTAAGGTGGCCGTGAGGTTCCTCCCTCCATTGGAGCCTTACACAAGCATTGGAAGGATTCTAGGAGCCAAAGATCTAGGGAAAGACTTGAAGGAAGCTACATCAATCCGGCCTCCTCCAAAGTTCTTCCATCACTTAGTGAAAGGGGTTAACTAAGATCTCTTCCTTCTTCCAATGGACTGACTAAAGCACAAAGACCTACAACTCTTCTGGAAACTGATGAAATGGAAACTAGTTCCAAGGAAGTCAATAGAAGTTGGATTTGTAACGACCCGCCGTGGCCGTCACACTACGAAACAACACCACACACTATTGGAATATATATATTAAAATAGTATAATAAAATATTTACAAATTAACACAATTTAAACACATACAAGAACAACAAGGGAATGAGAAACATCTCACTCAGGTTCAAGAGCAGAAATAAAGGTTAGATAGAACACACACATAACAAACATATTACAAGTTACAAGCACCAATCACACATAAACAATACACATACATAATCAATATCACATGTATACTCATTTATCATGCAATGATGTCATGGACTCGACTCATAAATACATGTGGCGCCAGTCACGTGTCTCATAATCACATTTCTCATCATTTCATCAATGGTGACCCAAGGTACACCTTGTTAGCTTGTTACATCACCAGTGATCCTAAGGTACACCTTGTTAGCTTGTTACATCACCGGTGACCTTAAGGTACACCTTGTTAGCTTGTTACATCACCGGTGACCCTAAGGTACACCTTGTTAGATTGTTACATCACCGGTGACCCTAAGGTACTCCTTGTTAGCTTGTTACATCACCGGTATGCGGCCTAAGCAACACACCTAGAATAGATCATAGATGCACATAATTCATGTCACACATCCACTATTTCATTGACTTAACA